GAAAAGGTGTTCGAGTCAAAGAGCGACCCGAATATGGATATTCACTACAGTTAAGTAGTTGTAGAATTCATATATCAATGTGAAATCTAAGTGTACTATCCATTGATTATAATTGTTTCCAAGTTTCTAGTAGGTTATAACATAGCTACTAGTTACAAAGTCTAGTATGTGTCGTGCCTATAAGTGCAACTAAGTTTAGTCAAATCAAGAATCGACTCGAATTTTGACGGTTGTCACAAACCCAGTACATGCAGCGTACACAGAAGTACGCTCAATGTACTGGCCAGTGACCTTTTCTCATCCGATCGAATGGATTAATCCCTTAATCCCTTAACGTACAAACCTCATATCTACTTCTAATTAAGGTCTTAATCCATAAAGTTGGCAACTTTAGTCACTTGCATGACTTAATAGGACCCAACACTAAACCCTAAGTCGAAAACTCCATAAAAAGGTTAAGAACTCAAGCATGGGTGAACTTTAGCGCTCAAGCTTCGATTTTTATCACTTATACAACTAAGAAATACCAAGATATGAAGTCCAAAGGTTCTAGAGTAACTTCAACTCACAAATCCAAGTCATGGGACCAAAATATGCCCAAAACATAACCCAAAACCAGATCTATGTAAAAGAGCAATAAAGTTGGAAGCTTTATACCTGCAAAAACTTACAAATGTGAAGAGATTTATGGATCTTCAAGCTCCAATCAAACTCATGCTCCTCCAATGAGTTCCTCTTTCTTCAATACGGACCAAAACACATAAAAATCACTCCAAAAGGTCAAGATCTCACAAGAAGGGGCTATGGTTCGTAATACTACTTTAGGGTGAATGGAGGCTGAGAATGGATAATCCTCAAGGGACTTAAGTTGCTTAAATAGGGTCCAAATGTTAAATATTAGGGTTTGAGTGTGGGTCGCGTACGACCAACGTACCTATAAGTATGCCCAATGTACTAGAGTGATCTCGCGACCTTCTGTATTCAGTACACCCAATGTACTGCATAAATTCCCTCTTTTCATATAAACTTCAAACGACCATAACTTCCACACCTACCCGTATTTGTCTCAAGGATCATCACCTCGCCCTAAAATACTCATAAGCATAGACGAACACCCAGTCCTCACCCCTAGTAGAAAGGCTAAACATCTCATAACTGGCCGAGTGACCCCTTACGTCTCATCCATGAAACTTCCACCAACCCTGCAGCGCTCGTGTATGCTATCCATACATAACACTGGATTGTATAAACATTCGAATATCTGATCCTACCCTAAGCCCTTCATCAAACAAGAACAGGAAATAAGACAAAACCAAACATTCTCAGGCTATAATATCTTGGTTATATATAACCTGATGCATACACCAAGCAACTACAGTAATGATGTCAATTTCATAAAAGAAAGCCCTAGGCTATCAGTCATCATATAATCAGGCAATTCTATCATGCAATTCCTGAAGATCCCTAGCTTATCACTAGCATGCTTTTCTAACATATCACAATATCAAATAACAGCTATGGTATTTTGGGGTCTACTTACTGGCTCCGGCTTATCGTATACATCACATCCTCTTTGAGCATTTTGAAAACCATTTGAAAATCATTTTGAAAATATTTTCCTTAGTTTGAGACTGGATTCACACGAATGTTCCTCCAATTCACTCAAACCAAGGCTCTGATACCAACTTGTAACATTCGAAAAATTCTTCAAATTTTGAACTTTTGAAATAAGTACAAACCATCATTTATTTCATATTGTTTTTAAAATAAGTTTCACATCAGAGTTTTCCCAGAAAGCCTAACAAAAAATACGAGGAGGTGCAGGATCAAGCCTTCGCCTTCCCGCGATCATCTGAGGTACCAGAAACATATTCCTTAATGAGTCTTCCCCAAAATACCACCACAATACATAATCATAGCTATCACGCAACAGCACACATACAGAACCTTAGACCGCCACACCGGGCCTACAACCTATCTGGACTGTTCACTGGGCCTTTAGCCTGACTGGTCTGCCTCGTAGGCCTTCAGTCTATCCGGGCCGCCCTGGGTCTGTTGGCCTTCAGCACAAAGCAGGACAACTCAACAGAACCACACACACACATGTCGACATATACATAACTCATAAACACATAATCAAACAAAAGGCAAGCACAGATCATACAGATCAATAAGCATAGCATCATCCTATCTACTAGGATTCAGATTTAACCGATTACTACAATACTCAATATACAATAACCAGGATAACAGTCCAAAGGGCCAGCCTTGCTGCCTTCGACCCAACAAGTACGGCGAGGAACACTCACCTCACAGGTAGTGTTGAACTGGTAAGATCCAACTCCAAATCTCAGCTCCGGACCCAAATGCCTACAACCACCATGTGATCATTTCTATCAAAACTCTGAAATACACATAATACCCTCAAGAGTCAAACTTGGTCAACCATGGTCAAAGTCAAAGTCAACAGTCACGGTCAACAGTCCATGTTGACCCAACTCGTCAAGTGCACCTACCAACGCGTCGAGTTCCTACAGTATTCAGAGAGTCGGGAAACCCCTAGACAACTCGCCGAGTTGGCTGGAAAACTCGCCGAGTTTTCCCAACTTAACACATTCAGTCCTTTTTCATCAAGTCTAACACCTTAAAATATAGATCTGATACCCAAGGGCTGGAAAACCATGTAAAGTTGCTAACTTTACGTCCATGCATGTCCCAAAGAGGCTCCAAAGCACAAGGAAGGCTTAATAAGGGACCTAAAGCATGAAGGAGGCCTAGAACTAGATAAAGCTTACAACTTTAAGTCCAACGAGGCCTTAAAACGTCCACATCTGAAGTGATAACTTCATGAATTATCAAACCCATGGACAATCCCAACAATGAGCCAAATATGACAATAAACTTCCAAGAAAGTGATCTAAGCAATAGATAGAAAGAAGGTGTCGACTTTATACCTCAAAATGACTGCAACAAAAGAGTAGGTTTTGGATATATATCCTTCCTCTAAATCACGCCAGTTCAAACTTCAAGCTCCTTCAAAAGAACACCAAGAAATCACTCTTCAAGCTCAAACACATACAAATATGGAAGAGGATGCACGAACTAGGGTTTTCTGGACAGAGGAGACTGATAAAGAGGCCACCCAAAGGGTATAAGGCCTTTAAATAGGGTACAACACCCTAAAAATTTGGGTTTTTTAATCAGCCACCAACTCGTCAAGTTTTCCTCAACAACTCGTCGAGTTGGTCCAAAAATATGCAGGACCCAAAAGTCTTCAACAGGTCGAGTAGAGGCCATCAACTCGACGAGTTCGAAGGGGAATTTTCCTTTTAAGGAATAAATCTCATACCTGGAAGTCTGGATGTTACATTTGAGTAGTAAATTGAGGCTTAATCCCCGTTTCTTGTATATGTGAACTGTAGAGCCGATATTTGGAACAATGATCAGTTTAGCTATCTTTTGGACTTCGAGGTGAGTTTTTGTCATTGTATCCGTGGGTCGAAGGCACCAATGGCTGCCCATAGGTTGTGTTATGTAACACCCCGACTCTCAGGTATAAATTTCAATCTTATATTCCAATTCTAAAAGTCGACTCGACGAGTTGGATACCCCGACTCGTCGAGTTGGGTTGGTTCAGGTTGCAGGTTTTAAGTGACCAACTCGGCGAGTCGGAGGACGGATTTGACGAGTTAGATTTGGAATGAGAAACCCTAATCCTCGGGGTTTTGCACCCTATTTAAAGGATCCTTTGCCCCCTTGGCCTCCCCTTACATCCCCTTGTGAGTCCAGAAACCCTAAAATCGCCGTTTTCTCTCTTTTGTGTGATATTAAGCCTTGTGGTGATTATGGAAAGAAGATCTTGAAGTACTCAAGCTTCGAACAAGAGAAAGGCTGTAGATCTGAGTTCTTCTTCATCTTAGCATTGTTTCTGAGGTTACACGTTGTTACCTTGACCTTCTTCTATTAGATCTATGCTTGTGTGAGATTAGAGCCATTTTGCAATATTGATATGTTATTTTGGGTATCAGGCGTGATCTGAAGTTGCACTTCAGATCTAGGCTTTATCTTGGTCTGTAGGATCATAAAGTTTCAGCCTTTAGTGATTAATACCTTCTTCGTCCCTTAGGACCATCTTTAGCTTGATTTGGGCCATATCACCTTGCATGTACGTAAAGTTTGCAACTTTACGTAAGAAATAGCCCTAAGAGCTTAGATCTGCATTATAGAGTTTTAAAGCGGCTTTTTAAATATCGTCTGGATGGAGAAAGATTGAGGGGACTCGACGAATTGCATGGTCAACTCGGCGAGTCTGATGAATATTGTCATGCAAGGACTTCTGCATGGACTCGGCGAGTCAGTAGGGTGACTCGGCGAGTCAGCTAGGGTTTTCCCGACATTTCGACATGCATGAAATCAATGAGTTGCGGGGAAACTCGACGAGTCAACCGGGGTTTCACGACTTCTCGAGTTCAGGAAGGACTCGACGAGTCGGTGAACTGCACTCGACGAGTCGGGTCAACTGGGACTGTTGACCTTGAGTTTGACCAAGGATTTGACTAGTTGACTTCTAGGGTATTTGGTATTTGGAAATTTATGGAACTGGTCTTATGGTAAATATAGGTGGTGGAGTTCGTGTCTGTGATTGAGAGTTTGAGCTTATCACTT